ATCCCAGGTGCGCAGCCGGACCCGGCCTGGTAATAGGCCGAGCCAGCACTCGGGCCCAGACATCATCGCGCTGGGGGAGGTGGAGATCTGGGTCTGAATTGTGCAGCATGAGCCCATCACCAGTACGCGCCAGCCCGGATTCAGAAAGCAGGAGGTGGACTCCCCCCACGTCATGAGATTGGTTTACACATGAGATTAAAATAGCAGGTGCGCAGCCGGACCCGGCCTGGTAATAGGCCGAGCCAGCACTCGGGCCCAGACATCATCGCGCTGGGGGAGGTGGAGATCTGGGTCTGAATTGTGCAGCATGAGCCCATCACCAGTACGCGCCAGCCCGGATTCAGAAAGCAGGAGGTGGACTCCCCCCACGTCATGAGATTGGTTTACACATGAGATTAAAATAGGGGTTACTTTTCATTGTCTGTTTTATTGCGGGAGTTCACGTTTCCCAGTGTTTCTTTACAGCAATGAAGGACTGGGCATTTAAAAACGTAAAGGGAGTTTTCAGGTAATCTCATGACTCCAGGAGCTGGGGCTTTAAGAAAGACACCACAGACTCTGAGACCATTGATATCATCAGGAGAGCTGCCTATCCTGCCTGGCCATTTAAAAGTTTGCATTACAAATAGTGGAAAAGAGGAAAAATAAGCTCTCTGGAAAGTCAGCACCTGTAAAAGATCTGTATTACTGGTGTTAAACATGTTTTAGCATTCAGCATTTTGTCAGCTGTTTGGGATTAGTCATTCTGTGTTCCTTAATTTAAATGCAATAATCTTAATTGATTTTCTTTTTAGGGTGCCATAAAAGGAAAATTGCAGGAGCTTGGGGCTTATGTTGGTAAGTTTTACTCCGTTTAATAGCTGTGTTTAGGCTTATTGTAGTTAAAGATGGAAAATACCTGCTAGCTTGTTCCTGTCTCCTTCAAGAGTAGAAGGTGGGTTTCCTCCCATGACAATGAGTGGTGGTCAAATACTGCACTTGACTTTAGATCAGCGTTTCCCAAACTATGGGCCGCAGGAAAAAAATACCGGGCCTCAGCATAGCTGGTGGCTGCCGGCAGGGCCGGCCTTAGGCCAATTCGGGCCCTGCGCCCCTGAACCCGGAAGAGCCGGTGAGTTACAGAGCCGGGGGCCCTGCTCCACCAATATGTGGAGCTGGTCTCTCCCCCGGCTCTGCCTGGAGCAGGCACAAGCCCCCCCTTCCCCCCCGCGCATCCTCTCCCCCCGCCTCCAGAGCGTCCCCGCCGTGCACGGCTCCTCACTGCCTGCTGCTGCCCATGTGCGGAGTTGCCCAGGTGTGACATGATGTCACGGCCCGGGATTTTAAAAGTCTTCGGAAGCACGTGCCGTGGTCACGCTGCCTCCTGGTTTAGCCTCCGGGGCCTGAGCGCGGCTTCCGCCCCGCAATGTGGAAGGCAGAAGATAGGGAACGGGCTTGGGCGGTGAGGCGGCGGTAGCGGGCTTGGGTGGAGGCAAGGAAGCGGCAGCGGGGGTGGGAGGGGAAGGCACCAAGGGACAGGGTGCAGGAGAGAGAGACAAATGCCAGGGGGCCAAGTGCAGACAATGAGGGAAAGGGCAGGAGAGGAGGTGTCAGTGGGAGGGGGGACAGGGTGATGCTGGGAGAGGAGAGGGGAAGGGCATTGGGGGCTGGAGGAGGTGGTGCTGGGAGAAGGCTTGAAAGAAGGGGTGGGCATGAGGAAGGCCAGGATGAAGTCAGTCATGTGTGAGGGCACAGAGGGGCAGGAGGGGAATGGGGCAGAGAGTGGTGAGGGGGTAGGTATTAGGGAAAAAGAGGGCAAAGGGGGCAGAGGCAGTAAGGGAAGGGGGAGGCACCAGGAGGGTGCAGGGCTAAGGGAAGCTGCAGGTGCCAGGGGATTCTGGGGTTAGGAGGAGGGGAGAGCTGGCCACTGGAAGCAGCCCTGGCCGGGGGAATCGGGGCAGGCTGGGGGGGGTGGGA